AACTCACCGTGCCTCCTGATCCGGACGAATCAACCTCAACTTACACGACTTATACGACCCCGCGAGCTTGTCTCAGACATGCATATCAAGCATTTAGATGAGAGTGAGCCTTCAAGAGTACCTACCGGCGACTTCAAACCACAGACATTGGGTATGGGCACATTGGCGAAAGTTTTATGCTGGTGTTTGCTCGTCATTATATTTGAGGGCGTTCGCGTTGTTAAGAACGCGAACGCGCCCATTCGACTACGGGTTCAAACCCGAGTCTTTTCATCTCATATCGTCTATGTGTTGTCATCTCTCCAATCAGTTTGCCATCCAACTTTTTGTAAACCAAAACGCCGACGCGATGTCACTCTTCGCGCGTGTCCTTGTGTAAGGAAATCGAAATAGATCAGATTCCAAGGAAAGAGACCACTTTTCGTTGATCTTGACACCTCTTTTGGTTGGTATCAAAGCCTGTCATCCCACGACAGGTATCTATGTACTTTCGAGAGCTCAGGCCGTGCCAAGTTGAATCGGAGACAACAGCCCGCCCATCGAAGATATGTGCTGATCATCGGGCTTCTATGAAAGGCCCATACGGTCCACTCCCATAGTGTCCTTTATGCGTCTTCGAGGAGGATGACGGTCTTGGTGTCGCCGAGCTTCTCACGGCCGTTCAGACCGGGAATTTCTAGGATGAAGAGATAGCCGACAATCTCGCCACCGAGCTGCTTGATGAGGTCGGCCGCAGCCTTTGCGGAACCACCTATTTCGTGTTAGTGGACCTGTACGATCTAGCCTCGGGGGAATGTTGCGCATTTCAGCACAGAGTATGTAGCTTACCAGTAGCAATAATGTCATCGACGACCAGAACCTTCTGGCCAGGCTTGATGGCATCCTGCTGCATCTGGAAGAAGTCGGAGCCGTACTCCTTCTGGTACTCGGCGGTAACGCACGGGCCGGGCAGCTTGCCCTGCTTGCGCACCGGGGCGAAGCCGGTGCCGAGACGGAGGGCCATGCCGGGGCCAAAAAGGAAACCACGGGCGTCGAGACCGACAATGACGTCGGGAAGAGTCGGGAAAGCCTCCTTGACCTGCAACTCAAGGGCATCGCCGAGAGTCTGGTGAACGGTGGGGTCGAGGAAGAGGGGCATGATGTCGACAAAGTCGATTCCCTTGATAGGGAAATCAGCAAAGTGACGCAGAGCGCCCGTGAGCTTCACCTTCCCACTGGCGAGTTCGGGGGAGGCGGCGGAGGCGGCGGCGGGCTGTCGTCCCTGGGCATCTTGAGGGTGGATGGGGTGGGCGGCCAAAGGGTTGATTGTAGCCGCAGAGGCGTCGTTTGAGAGGGGGAGTTGTTCGGAGGACATTGTGAAGAGAGGAGAGGGGAGGAACAGGCGGGTTAAGAAGGTCTTCTGGGCGGGTTGGAAAGCAATGATATGAGTCTGTCTGTATCTAGGTTGGCAGAAGAAAATTTTGGGGTCGGATCCCGGAGAGTAGACTGAGTGTGAGCGAGAGAGGAGGGGTGTGGGACACGAACAAGTGGCAGGTGGTAAAAAACAACGGTAAGGTTAGGTTGGCTAGCACGCAAAGGTAGACAAGGTGCTGAGGGTACGTGGAGATTGTATTGGAGCTGCTAAGACAACGGAGTTACTAGGTACCGGTTCCTTATTTTGACCGAGGGGTCGTGGAGGGGTGAGGAGGTGTGCGTGTGTGCCAGCGTGTGTAAGATACTTCGTACCCATCGGGACTGAACTGAGGTGTGTGAGAAAAGAGTGTGGGAAAGAGAAAGGCAGGCTAGTCCAGCTCGGCTCGCCGGGGGTGGAGAGTAAGACAAGGCATGAAATCACGAAAGCAGGCTGGCAGACGGCGTGCAGGAAGGTGATAAGATACCTTAGGTACAGAGTATCAACTGTGTATGGCCAGGGGTCATGGAGGTAGCAGAGGCGAGAAGAGAAAAATAAGGAAGAAAAAATCTACTAGAGCGACTGGGTAGCGTAGACTCCGGAGAGTGGTAAGAGTGAGTGTGAGTGTGAACGCGCCATCGATTAGGAAGTGGAGAGTTGTGACACGGGTAGGGTGTCACTACGTGTGGTGCGAAGTGGGCAGGTCGATTCCAACTTGCCCAAGAGTGGTCCGCGACGAAAATGACAGCGATGAGGGTACATGGCCAAGCTAGTCCAAGGCTTGATAGGAAAAGCTCATTTAAGGCGCTTCGGGATATGCCTTAGATAGGATGGCGAGCATTCATTATCTTTACTTTTCCTTTGTCTCTCCTGACTTCCGAGCGCTGCCTTTTGATGCCTTCTCTGTCTCTTCATTGCCGCCCAACTTGGGAAGCCCATTGTGTTGAAACATATTGCTCAAGCAAGTTCATGTTGACTCGGGAATACCTCAGAGAGGTGCTGTGGTTTCCGCAGATGAGCGGCCAACAGATGCTGGGAAACACTTGATTCCTTTCTGGGCTGTTTCTCGTCCCTCAGGTCGCGCGATATCGTATCTGGCTGTAATAGCAAATGGTAAGCCGGCAACGGCGCAGGTGGGAGGTGGGATGTCTTTCAGCCAGAATTGATTGCCCCTCCATCGTAGCAGCAACGACCCCTCCATATCCCAAGGCAGGGGACCTTGGGCCGTGGACGAACGGACGAGCGCAAGAAGCAGTTCCCCACTATGCCACCACCTCCGAGAAAGGGACCATGACACAAGCTGTCTCTGTCTCACCCTCGCCAGGCAGCCCAGCACAAACGTCAGGAAGCCTCTGGATGTTGCATGGCACGTTATCATCCGAGCCGTGAATCAATGATAGCAGCATCCCTTGTCTTCTCCTTCTTGTCGTAGCCCTTTCCCTCATCAAGAACGGTCATGCACATACCTAGATATCATGTCACGGCCCTGAAGGGTGTGAGCTAGTTTTCGGTGAGTAGCTTCGTCAAGCGCTGCAGAGAAAACTGTCTAGGTAGTCTGCAGGTCGACGACATGAACTTTGGTTGTGAATATGGTTTGCTCTGAAGAGACGAAGTACCAGAACCGGAAGACATTTAGCCTTGGACCAGGGCCCTTGTCTTTTTTCCCTGTCCAACACCGATGAGGAGGAGCGCGGCGATGAATGGCGAATGTGGTGCAGAGTCCTGCATGCGCGTGTAGGTGGTACCAACATGCCATGCTATTTCATCACCGCAATACCCGTACAGGCCCGTACGGATAGCACGAGGCAAAGCAGGCGCGGCAGGCTGTTCGAACTTTGAACAACCCGGAGGGCTGTCAACGGCTTGGTTGCACATACAGGCGCCATGGTGAAGTTGCGGCGACGGTGGTTCTCAATACCGTCAGCGAGAATAGCATTGGTGCCGATTTCTGTGGATCATGCTACCTTCCAGGTTAGTGACTGAAGCTTGAAGTAGGTAGGCACTAGGGCCCTGAAGACCCGATGATACCGGAAACATCCCAGCTCGTTTCAAACGTCCAAATTATTGTGCTTTGGGTGAACAGGTCAAGGGTGGATGATAGGAGAGGCACGAATGTGGTGATGTGGAGCAGATGAGCTGTCGATGTGGCAGAGGAGGTCGAGAAGCTCGCTCGAGCACACAGTGGAAGAGGTACCAAGTGATTATGAAGCAAGTACTTTGGTAGGGGAAATAGAGGGAATGCAGAGTACATATTTGGTAACAATACTGGAGTGTTGACTTGCATAGGAACGTTCTTACCTAGGTATGTTCCGCCCGAGGCATCTAAGGTAAGGTAGGTAGGTAGGGACGTGCCTGACAACCTGGAAGATTATCCTCATCCATGACAAGCAGGAACCACCCAAGTGACTAAGGTACCTCGAGGCTCATGGGCTCTTTCCTGCTCCATTTGGTCTCGAGGCAAGTAGTTATTGCTGAGGAGCCTTTGCTAAAGGTAAGGTCGGTATGGGTGGTACTCTTGCCTATGTACAAGACTCTTCGAACTTGCTCCTTCAAACGGCCCCCAGCTCAAATTAAACGGGCCGCTTGAGGCGAACTGCGGCTTACGGGCAGCTGTCCCTCCACTCCACCCATTTTCTAAGGTAGAACATACCATTCCTGCTCCTATTTTGCTTCTAGATGCATTCAGCCCATGCATTATTCCTCTTCTCTGCAAAGCCAATCATAGCGTACAGACACTACAATGTCGGCTCAGTGTCTTGGCTGTACATACAGAGCACGTCCTTGGACTGCTAACCTAGCTTCGTCCTCTCCAGCCAAGGGAGTGTACTACGTACGGCAGCCATCACAAAACCTCCACATATCGAGGCACTTCACGGCATGGCCTCGATAGAACACTTTGCTCAGGCCCAACAATGCTCAAACCTGAGCCAAACCGGAACGATCAAATTGTTACGGCAGATGTTCAGGAGTACTCCTTAGTGCTGTATCTGCACCCACAGCTTGTACTTGTACTTACTTAACGTACTTGATTCTGTTGAGGGCTTATATATCACAGCCCACTTGTCCGGTACCTGTCTGACAGGCAACATGGTTCCGCGTCCTCTCACCTTACTGCGTATGTATGAGCTTCGGCCACCAGCAACGATGGGGTCCTACCGCTGTGCCATTCCGTCAATTATCAGCTTCCACCCCACCCACTACGTCGCAGGGTCTCGCCCGTTCACTGTTCCCATCGAGCCAAAACGTTCCGAGAGACAGACAAACCGCCGCCGCAACATCCTGCTATCACTTCGCATTGAGTCACGGCCGCGGCCAGGGTCGCCGTCGAATCACACTCCAAAGATCCCCTGTGAACGACATGTGCCCCCGCGCTCTCGACAGGAAACGAGCCGTATCACTTGGGATATCCCGTTGATCTCACGCGCCAATGCATACCGCGATCCAAGCAGCCGCCGACTCATCCCACTACCACACCACAATGTTGACCACCCGCGAATCCTGCCAAACGAGACTCGGCACCTCAGTGAACCAATGCATAGTACCAACCTTAGTATCCGCATACCTATGTACATCTGCCTCTACCAGGACATACGAAGGACTCAGCCCTGGCATGGACGGGTCCATCTTCTTGGCAACCCCATCAGATTCTGTCCGAATGTTTCGAGACCATCTTATCCGATCATTTCCGCCCCGCCGTCCGTTATCCTGGAACCTTCCTTTCCGATTCCTAGCATGTCACCGATGGCCCAGTCTGGAACCTGAGCTTCGATCCTGTTTCCCGTCAACTTTCGAAGATCTTCGTCCGTATTTCGCCTGGAGCTTGGGAAAGCTGGTGAACGATGTACCTGGTCGATTGAGTCTGGATCGCGACCGCTGCTGCCGTTGTCTCCACCGCATCACTACACGTCCTACAGCCATGCGATTCCGATATAGATACCAAGTGGTAAACTACCTTATAACACACGAGAATCACTGTCTATAATCATAGTACATGCACAGACATGTAGCGTCCCATCCCAGGTCGGAAGCCATTCCGCCAAACGCTTTTAAACAGTGCCTACCCTGGCCCTTCTGCTGAGTGGCCGAAACCAACATATTTTTTTGTCATCGATTTGCCATCGGGCCCCGTTCAAGCCAAGGACGAGACGCGGCCTCCCCACGGACAGTGGAACTCGATTTCATCGGGCGGCTCGGACAGAGATGCCAGCCGCTGTACCGTGGTGTCCTTGCCGGGCAAACGGTCTCTTCTCGGGTTCTTTGGAACTAATATGCCTCTGTAGAATGCTAAGGACAATTGCCTTTCCCAACGAAACATAACAGGCTCTCTCGGTCATCCGGTAGTCATCAGGAATTTCCTGCAACAGCCCAACACTATGACTCCGGAACAAACTGTGGAAGCACTTCCTTCCATACGAGCCGGGGATTATCGTAGCCGCAACATGAGACGGGAAGGTTCACATGCCCGGGGCCAGCGGCGACCAAAATTGGGTGCATTAGCGGCGTCCAAAACGCTCCGGCACAGGTGGAAACGGACCCGTTGACGCAACCTCACGGCAGCAGGTTTTCACAACCGGATGCCTTACTGACGGCCCCTACCCTTTCCGTTTGGCCTTGAGAAGCTTGATGATGCCGTAGCTCCGGCGCCGCTAGCTGGTAGTCGATGCAAATGAGTCAGTCTTTCATGGCCGACCATCGAGCGACCTATCCCTCACCGCTACTGTCCGACTCTGGTATCATTGGCTCCGTGATCTGAAGAAAGAAGGGAAAGGCCTAAGAGAAAAATATGCAACTGTGGGTAACTATTTGCTGACGTCGCTCAAATCTTTGTAGGGAAGATGCAGTCAGAGACTATCCGGGTCGATGTCCTATTCGTGCCAGGTGGCATTGGTATCTCTGATGGCTGTTGGTCGGCTGCAATCAGCCCCCATTCCAACTCGTCCGGGGAAAGCGGCTATCCGTGGATCAATTCTGCGCGCTGATGGTGTTTCTTTGCTTTTTTCTCTCTCTGCCTCGTCTCGCAGACGCAACCACGGTTACCGCTGTGACCGACCCTACCCAAAACCGGAATGAAGCTCGCTGGTTCCATGGAAAATGTCGGGATTCTGCAGAGACCGTTGAGCGGCTTCAGTTTCCACGAGTGGCCAGAGCGAGCCGCACCAAAGCTTGACCGAGTCGCGATGCTCTGGGTGAAGAGGGTGTCGACCGCGTGTGTCATGGCTCCAAGACGGAGGAGTGTGGTGGTAGGACTGCATCATGCAGGTAGCCGATTTCGATTTTGACGGCACCAATGAGATTGCCAGATGGCCGATTAAATGAGGATCTTTGGAGACAAGAAGCAGACTGCGCTACTCAAGGGCTTTGGCAGTATCACGTTTTCTCTTTTTCCAACTCTGCACTGGATCTAGTTTACTCTATAAGCAGACTGTCACTGTCACTCTTATTAGTTCGCCTCTTGTCTTCCTGCAGGTCGTATGTATCTACCAAGGAGGCCGTCACATAAAGCTACCAACAATGATTGCTGAGTCGTCTAACATGATGATCATTAATCTCTACGTATTAACATTGAATCTCTCTTTCTACCCCCAGAAAAGAAAACTAATATCCGATCTTTCGTAACCATCATGCCAAGGAAGGGAATTGATGAGTGTGGTATCTCTAATCTAATGAAACTTGGAATAACGTGAGCGAGCATGGGGTATGAAAATAGAGGGAGGAAACGAGACGAGGAAGGGGGGTATCTTTCTTAGTTCTTTCCGCACCAATAGCCAAAGAAGCAGACGCGGCAAGAGAACAGAATAAAGAACAACATGTACGCCCAAGGTATGCGAAAGAGAAAGAAAGTTGTTCGTTATCCATCCAAGAAAGAAAGAAAAGGTGGTACGCCGGCTATTGTTGGTATCGCTCGATGCTGAGAGAGAAGAAAAAAGTAACCCAGGATGCCGTGTTACACACCCTGGACAGAGTGCAATCTCTTGCCGAAAGAAATGCAAGCGCTCAATGAGTTCGGATAACGCCTCTGCAATGGGGGAAACAGTTTGATGGTTGGATGTAATGGTGATAAGATAGGGCAATATCGGCATGTAGGAGCCGAAGAGAGAGCCAGCGGGAACCAGCCGAGCTTGGGGTTGAGGGCGTTTGCGTCTGATTGTTGCGCTTCCTTTCCATCAGTGGAATTGTAGCCGGATAATGGAGAAGAACATGTTCTGCAGGACGTGGAACATGACAGCCACGCTGGTCGGGAGCAGCTCCGGCCACACGGCGAGGTCGAGCTTGCCCTCCATACCGACATCGACACCGAAGAACCAGCTGATGAGCCCGCGTACGATGACGGAGGCGACGAGCTCGCAGGCCCAGGTGACGGACGAGGCCCAAAAGGTGAGCCGGAAATCGTAGTCGTAGTCGTCGCCCGTCACCTTCCCGTCAAAGGCAAAGTACGGATAGACGTCCTTGTTGGGCCCAAAGTGCAGGACCAGCACGCTGCCGAGGAAGGCGGCCATGGAGACGTTCTCGGCGAGGAAGCGGATGAAGACGTTGCGGGTACACACTTTCTGGTACGAGGCGTAGGACTGGTCCGTGAAGTTGAGGGCGACGGTGATGCGGTGGTAGAGGCGGGACATTGTGAGCGGGGTGAGGATGATGAGGGTGCTGCTGGAGAGGATCTGGAGGTAGATGAATTGCTCCGGGGAGCGGAGGCGCGCGTATAGAGCGCGGACGTAGGTTTGGTAGGTGAGCATGAAGTATCTGGATGGTTGGTGTCAATTTGATGTTGAATCACTCTTGCCTAGACAAGGAGTACTCACAGTTTGAAGACCCAGCTCAGGGGGTAGCTTCCCACTCGCTCGCCCTCGCGGATACCCAGAAGCCAGCCCGTGAGGGCATCAAGTAGGTGCACCGTGATGATCCAGCTGTAGACGTACACGATGGTCTCCAAGTTGTTATGAGGTAGCGTGCGCAGGTATATCTCGGCGTAGGCCTCTCCTATGACGTACGCCATGAGCCCGACAAAAAGGGCCAAGCAGAACCAGATGAAGCGGACGAAGCTGGCGGGCAGCCACCTACGGCGCATCCTGACGCCGCCCATATTGCGAGACTGCTCAGCGGCGACCTGGAGCGTCGCGTCCGGGTCAAAGGCGTCGCTGCTAAGATTCGGCCGCCGGCGGTTATCGCGACGGGGGATGCTCCCTTCGGCCTCGCCTGTCCACCAGGACGTGGTGAAGATGCGTTGGGTCTCGGAGAGCGACTGGCGCAGCTTCAGGTGACGCTGGGAGGTAAGGAGGATGCAAAAGGCAATGGCAACTGGCATGGCCATGACGATGAAGGTCCAGGAAATCCAGGCCGTGTTGTGGGCGGTGAGGAAGCGCGTCTCTGGGACAAGGTAGATGGGGATTGGGACTGCTATCGAGATGAGGGCGATGATGGACATCGTAACTGGAAATCCAAAAGATTGCGGCCACCTACATTTGAGTATAAGCATATCTGTGTGCTTCTGAGGAGCGTGAAAGGGGGTCTGACGTACCAATTCAAGCTGTACAAGTTGAAGACCTTGGTGATCCATATCAGAGCCGTAACGTTATAGAAACCGTAGTACACGAAGAGGAAGAACCAAAAGTTGATCTGTACTCTTGCTTCTCCGTGGCCGGGTATCTTACGCCCAGACCCTGGCAGGGGATCACTTCGATCATCGTCATCCTCACCGGGAAAGGAGTACTTTGGGAACGGTATCGCACACCATGCAATAGCCTAGGTTTCCCTCCCGTGTTAGTCCCAATCACTCGCCAACTCCTCGATCTCTCCGTCCTATTGTCAAAGGAATTGCCAAACATACCAGAACAGCGGGCATCAGCACCAAGACTCCATACCGACTCCACCACACGTCGACAACGCCCTTGACGGCACTTTGCTTCGGTTCGACCCAGACGTTGGAGATCTTGCGCCAGGTGCGCGCCCACGCGCCCAACTCCTCCCAGTCGCCGCCCCTTGCAGCATCATTATCGTGGTTCTCGAGCCCCGAGGCGGACAGAAGCGCGCCGTAGCCGACGTATACGCTTCCACGGTTATTAGACGTGAACAAGCCGAGGGTGCTGGAGCGGCGACGGCGGCCGGGGACGTCGGATCGCGGGGGTACGGCGCGGAATCGGCCCAGCAGAGGGGAGGCGTCGCTCGTGAGGCGGGTGCGGGACTCGTTGCCTTGGGTGAATTGGAAGAAGCTCGGCATCGCTTGGATTTGTGAGGTTCGGTGGGTAGGTCTTCTATCTTTGCGACATTTGGGGTGTCTTGTTGTTGTTGTTGTTGTTGTTTTGTTTCTTCGGTTTGGGGAAAAGTCTCGTCATGTGCCTTTTCCTTCTCTGATTTCCAACTTTGTTTCGATGCGATTTCTATGTTCTTTGGAGAAAAGCAGTTGTAAACTTGTCTAACACGTTGTTGTCTCGAGACGCTGCGCTGAATTACACAAATGCACAAGGGCGGATCTCGAATTCGTCGTGTGGGCGTCGGAAGCTCGTGGTGTGAGGTGAAGGAATCCCGGACAACAATCCTGTGTATATTGGGATTTGAGTGCGCTTATGACGCTAAGGCCGCCATGTGCCTGGGACGGTCCCTGGAATCTCGGTGGGCATGGCGGATCCAACGTCCTTGTACAGCGGGCGCTAGCGCGTATTGGGCGGAGCATGGAGTGCGTTGGCAGTGGGGGGGGGGGGGGGCTTCGGCCACGTTCTGCCCCCCGATGTGTCCCCGGCCCCGGACTGATGGCGTTAGAAGACGGATGCATCAATCATTCGCATACCAAACGGAACAGGGGAAATGAGCTTGTAATGCGATGTCAAGATGATAAGACGATAAAGCCTTGCATTCGTGACTTCCTAGGGGTTGGGCTACTACCGCATATCCATCCATGTCTCTAAGGACTGAGCAACTCCTTGCGTATGCGTATTAATGATCGCTTGCTTGGGCTATCTTCAGATGAAGACGCTGCCTAAAAATACGAAGACCTCATGATGCCGGTGCTAAGTCGTGCAATAGTGTACAATGTGGTTGTTTGTAGCCTTTTTACT